TTAGAAAAATTACAAGTGAAAAACAATAAGTGGGAATGCATAAGCATTCCCACTTGATAATAATAATAATAAAGAGAAACAGAAAAACAATAAGTGGGAATGCATAAGCATTCCCACTTGATAATAGTTGTAGTACATAAAATAGGACTTTCTGTAGGTTTAAAGTGTGCTGATTAGAGCCGACAGAGTTGAAAAGAACAGCTTTAAGGCAAACTCAAATAGGAATTCTTTTAAACCTTGAAAATTATTTCCAAGACCATGTAAAGAAAATGAGAGAGCACAATAAATACTTTAGGTTTATACAAAATCCTCCAAAATAGATCCCTAATAAAAATATGTGATCTATGCATGTGATAAAGAACCAGTTCTGATTACTATAAACATGGGAACAAAAACTAATGAAGTTGTGATAAATCCCTAGAAGCCTGTGGTTGGTGTGTCTGTAACTAATTACATCTGCACAATGATCACAACTGAACTATGGGGGAAAATGAAACACTGCCTATGATCTGTCATGTTTTTATTCCAATCACATCCTCTATCTGCTGAATCGTTATGAGTGAGAAGACAGAGATAGTTAGTGGGTTCATCGGTTCTTTCAGGATGACTTGAAAGTGGTTCGGCTCGTTTGCCCGTGGGGAATCTGGAATAAAACGCTAAGAACAGATGATCAAAGGAGCTGTTCCTCCAGGTCAGAATGAGGTCAGAAATGTTAAGATTTAATATTCTTAAATTAAATCCTGCCCTTAATAAATTATATAGGATTAGAGGTTGAAAAGCCTTAATTAAATTTGGGGTCAAATTTTCATCCAATTATCTGCGTTGAAGGAAAGTCTCAACATTCCTCAAAAAACAGCTTTGTTGATCGGATTGTGATTTGATCGGACATAACTATGAAAAAAACATACATTACTGCCAGTAGAAAGTTAATCCTATTTTTTAAAAGCTGTAGGACTTTTTTTATTTACAAACTATTGGCTTATGCTAAAACTGAACCAATTCATCAAAGGCCTTTTTAACAGATGTCACCTGATGACCAAAGCTAAAGTTATTTCTGCTTAGAAAAAAAAGTTTAATATTGTGTTTTAGGGTTAGCATTAGCCCCAATTTGTACAAACCTAACTTCAATTGATCTGAGTCGTGGGATAGTTCAGTCCAAACCTGACACCATAAATGGTTACAATTGGGTTATTTCCAAACCATCTGCTTTCAGAGCATCGATGTGCAACACTGGGGGAGAGAAACCCCAGAATTGTTGCATATCACAGTTTTCAAATGCCAGTAACTTCCTGTTTGATAAAAACATGACAAAATGTAATAAAGTTCTATTGATTTGAATACATTTCAAGCGTTGAATATCATACCGTCAAAAAATAATTTTTCTAACTTCATGAAAGAGCATGATTTTCTCTTCACATAACAGTTGGTGTCCTATGTCCTATGGTGTCCTATGCCTATACAGCTCTAGATAAAGTCTGATTAAGCTCAGATTTCTCTAAAGTCTGCTGAGGTGAACAGGAATAACCACTGGCATCTCTTTAAATTTGCAGGTGCAATGCAAATTTTCTGTCTTCTTCTGCTTGATGCATTTTTGGGGTGATACTAAAGGTCATGCAGAAATGCTGGGGACTATTTGAGGCAGCCGAGATGGGGCAGCGGTTTGAAGGGAGGCAGTCTAGACTGAGTGCCGAATCACTGATGGAGGAAAACCTGTGAGAAAGCTCTTGGTTCTCCACGAGGGAAACAATCCGACATTCCCTGGATGGACAGAGAAACAAAGAGTGCAGAACAATTATGGGTTTATTGTCCTCTTATTTAGAGTAGTAATAATATGAAATAACAACATGTCCATGAGAGATTATGCATTTATAAAAAGGAAAGAACTAAATCAAACCCGTTTTATGAAAAAAACAGAAGATTTATATATTAAATTTTTTACAAGTTTAACTTGAAAATAACTGATTCGAGTTTATCTTACAATGACTTTATATGCTTTGACCTAAACCCCCATTATGCGACTCTGCTTCCAATCAAGAATGCAACACCCAGGATATAAATGTACATGTGGGGAGTACATTGATCCTCTCATTTGTTTCTAAAGAAATGCTTTTTTCAGTAATTCTTCCAGCAACGATAAGCATGTGTCCAGTTAAAGCTGGAACTGTCCATGTTGAGTGTTGCTAGTAGTTAAATAAGATAATTATTTTAGAGGACACGGGTGATTTATTAGCCATTTCATAGTATGCCGTATATCTTTGATGCAAATTTTCAAAAGCAGCTTAGTTCCACGTTATTCATACACCAGGTATATTTGGCTTTACAGCTATCTGTAAATCTGACCACAATGTCTCTTCTGACCATCAAGATTTTGGGGCAGCCCGAGCTGGAGTCCTGAATTTAATCCAATGCTAAATCAAAGGGGAGGTACACATTAGGGTGATGGCAAGGAGGCCTTCCAACCTCAAAGTCTTAGAGCTGATCACCAAAATGTAATCATTATAACAACAATGGAAAGTTGCTCATTACCCATAAGAGGGGTCCAAGCACTGTGATTAAACATCAGGCTGTTGATGAGAGGATATTATCTTCAGACCAGAGCTCATAATTCAATTAGTTATTAATTTGATTAAAAAGTCTGGATAAAATCAACATTATGCTTTAGGTCTTATTTATCTGACAGATTTCCTTATGTTCACGCTAATGATAAATCTTCCTCATGCTCAAAGGTTACCTGTGAAGTACCACAAGGATCAGTGCTAGAACCAATTCTCTTTACTATATATTTGCTTCCAATTGGTAGAATTATTAGACAGCATTGGATTAATTCCCACATAAAAACCTGGATGACTCATTACTTTATGTTTTTCAATGCAGACAAAACAGAAGTTTTATATCTTTGGACCATAGTCTTTGAAAAAGAAGCCGACAAGTGAACTACTTCATTTGGATGGGTTTAAATTGATCTCGCATATAAAAAATTGTTGTTTCTAGAATTTGCTTCTTTCATCTCTGAAATATTTCAAAAATTAGAAATATCCTCTGCATGGCTGAAGCTAAGAAACTAGTCCATGTATTTGTTACTTTAAGGCTGGACTGTTATATTTTTTTACTATCAGGAAATCCACAAAATGTAGTAAAAGATTTAAGCTGATCCAAAATGCTGCAGCCAGAGTTCTGATGAAAATTAAAAAGGGAGATCATATCATATCATCAGACACCCTGTCTACTTTTAAGGGTAGGCTTAAAACGTTCCTTTTTGATAAAGCTTATAGTTAGAGTGGCTCAGGTTATCCTCAGCTATCTCTATAGTTATGCTGCTATAGGCTTAGACTGCTGGAGGACATAGGGATCACTTCTCATCATTCTGCTTCAATCCATCTATAGTCTCCCATTCTGCAGTTAAGTGGTTGATTTGTCTCTGTAAAGTGCCTTGAGATGAGTTGTAAATTGGTTCTGTTTAAATAAACCAAATTGAATTGAATATATGCAAGAAAACCTGCTGTCAACTATTTGGTTTGCTCAGTTAAACTACAGAAACAACATTTTTCAAGAGGCTTTAAACTATGACAGCTTTTGTCAGGCTATCATGTGGAGACAAACAATGATCAGAAACAGATCAAGGCAAATCCAGTAATGGAGAAACTTAATGGTTGTGTCTTTTTTTTGGTGTGTGTATCAATTGCATACTAACGGGAAGAAGTTGCTGAGCTGTGTGGTTCCTGGCGTCCATCAGCAGAGGAGCTGAAGGGCAGGAGGAGGTCCTGCCAGGAGCAGCTGTCAACAGGTCGGTACTCCTCTATAAAAGAAAAAAAAGTTACAAAAGGATAAATATAATCATTTGAAAATATAAAAAAAAGAAAAATACAGATTTCAGAGTTCATAAGTCATAAAGTCATTTAATCTTCTTTAAGTGGAATACATAAGTGAGTTTCAACAACATGAGCCACAAAGACTTGATTATTATACCTTTCCAACTGACTGTTGCAGTGAAATTGCAGATACAGATAACGCTAAATTTTACAGCAAAAATGTCTGCTTGTTTGTGTCTTTAATTAAAAACAAACAGCAACAGATCTTGGTTATGAAGGGGTTCCCTGAGGGACATGATTTTAGATAACGTCTTGCAGCTGAGCTGGAAAACTAAAATATTACTATGCTTACATAAAAATCTAGTTATCTTTTGGTATGAAGCAGCTGCACAAACATCATCAAATAAAAAAATCATTATACTAAACATTTACAAATGTATAAGATCTGATTTATGGGAGAGAAGATTCATCTACCTTCTTCCACACATTGAAATCTTTCAAAAGATTGATTAGTTGTTGTAGATTTGTTTTTTATTGTTTCAACTGAACTCAAATATCCCCATATGAGGATAAAATGTCTTACCAAGGACTTGATGTTTCCGAGCACGGCAGCAGTCAGGATCCCCGTGAAAAACGCCACGAGGTTCAGGCCGGTGAGGGTCCAGATCAAAATGTACAGCGTGAAAACTTCCTCACAGCTTTGTACTCCAACAAACTCAAAGTAATTATTCATATAGTCTCCTCTGGAAAACAAAGCAAACTTCATCTGTTATTCAAAGTTATGTAAAGTACACAATACATATTTGTTAGATATGATGAGGGAGAGGCAACGGTTGCAAAGAACGGTGAGCATCTCACTTGGCGCAGTCGTACAGGTCACAGCAGTAACAGGTCCCGCTTCGAACGGTCATGGTACAAGAGTCCCTCAGAGTCCAACATGGCACCTAAAAAATAACTTTCATTTGGTTCAGACTTTCCCAACTTAACCAGAATGAGGTAATCTTCTCTTTGTAGCCTTAACTCACTGCAATGTAGGAGTTCTCATAGATATAACCGCTGCCGCTGCTGTAATACTGACACCTCCCTGCTTTAAGAGGACGCATGTCCTGAAAAAAAAACATTTCAGCAGATCACAATTTATTCATATTTCACCATAATAATAATTGTCAGTAACATATTAACATGCATACTGGGCTCTTTCAGAGTACTTCTAAAACTCTGGGTAGGGTGTCAGTTTGTTAGGTCTCCCCAAACTAGTCCTTGCAGCAAACTCCTCTTCTTACTTTCTCCTCCTCATTTGTAAGTTGGCTTATCAATCATTGCTTTAGTAACCTATATGCATTAATGGCTGCAGTTTAGTGATCCATGCATAGTCCTCAGTCTTTGGCTGTGCTCTCAGCTTTGAATTATGTCAACCTCTAACACGGAAATAAACAAAAGTTTCAAAATAAAAGAAGCCCAGACACAAAGAGAAAGTTGTAGGTTTCAAATCACTTATATATGTTTTTGTAAATTAAAAAAAAAAATCCTGAATGCAATAAAACTATGATTTTCCTATTAGTTTCCTTCATTTTTAATTGAACAAATTTACACCAACAATTTACTAATGTTAATATCTTCATATCAGGTAAGTGGTGGTGTTGTTAGTGTGTACCAACAGGTTATTAAGGCTATCAAAATAGAAGAAATTTTTACTAATAATACACAGATAACATTTGGTCCCTCTCTAAAATTAGTAAAAATAAATTTTCTGTTGTTTTAGGGGTAAAATGTCCTAATACACTGTTAGGTTTAGATAAACTAAAAGCTGTACCTTGAAGCCAGCTCTTTTCTGGCACTTTTATTAGATAGTAGACAGACAGGAAATAGGGTTTGTAGAGTGGAGGAAGACGAGCCATAAACGGGCTTGAACTCCATCCTGTGCCGCCTACTGTACATTACTGACTGACACCTCCATGCATGGATCGCATGCAATCTAGATCAATTACTATGAAAGTTTGACCCCACTCTTAATTAGAATATCAGTATCAAGTTTTTTTTGCTTTTAACTGTTAAAAAAAATTATTTCATCCATTTTTCCAGTGTACCAGATGAGGAGAACAAAAGATAAACATGTCATGTTGGGATTTTATTGATGTAACAAAACAAGAAC